CTTGTCAGGAAATGGATGAGATGTACTGAAAATTGCGTTAACAGCGGTCGGAATTGGTCAGCAGAAGAGGTCCGACCCTGCTTCATGACAACGCCGGTCTGGACGTTTCACAAACCACCGTCCAAAAATTGAACGAATTGAGCGTCAAAGTCTAGCTTCAGCCATCATACTCCCCAGATCTCTCGCCAACCGAGTACCATATTTTCAAGTACTTCGATAATTTTCTCAACGGTAGAACCTTCACCAATCAGTACTAGGTACAAACGGCCTTCGTCGATTACATCGAATTCCTAGCAAAAAATTTGTATGCTGGCGGAATTAGTCAACTTGAGTTACATTGGCAATAGTTCACTGATTCAAATATCGTTTATTCCGAATCCATTGAATAATTATTCACTGGGATATTAAAGCTCGGAGTAGACACATGAAAATTGTCAAAAATTTCGAATCAACCCAATACCGGTCAGTTAATTTTGAGTAATGAGGTAGCGTTTTCCAAGAGAAAACCAGTTGGCAGTTCCCCTTGAAACTAGACTATGTTGGTAATTTCAAAGGGCTGTATTATACTCTATACTCATCGGAGTAACAATTTAGGTTTTTAATATCACCCCCAACGATAATAAAGAAGTCAAGCATCACCAGTGGCCTATTTCCATTTTGAATCATCCTCTCCGCCATGCTATAATCAAGCCCAAGCTTTTTACGCCAATACTGTTGAACATTCGAAAATTATACTCTACGACATTCGATAAACTTCACGTCATTAGTGTTATCTTTCCACTCCAGAGATATCTTCGATGTTATTAGAGCTGCTTGTAACAAATTACCCATAAACCATTTGCTTTTTATGAGATCGTGTTCAAAATGTATATAGAACTACTCTGACTCGTTGATATCTCTATAAAGGTCTATCGCCTGTAGAGTCTTTGACTTTATACGATATCGTCAATTCTAACATTTGGATTGGATCATTCCAGGGGTGAATGAGGGCAGCCAGTGTCGGGTAGAAAGTTCGAGAGTGGGGACAACATGATCCAGAAAAAAAAACAAGCCAGGAAAACAAAAATTATTTCCTCCAGAATCCAAACGATAATGAACATTATGTAGGAAATTGAAATATGAATAATGATTTTTAACAAGAATCCTACAGCTGAGATTTATTCAAATAAGCGAATGAATGTTATTTACGTGCTGTCATCGATGACATGGGTAGATTCGTCGAATTCAAAAACAAAAACTCGTAATTTTATCCGTATTTGCTACTGAAGAGCCGATGAGACAAGTGTCTTATGGCGAAACTTTGGATGTCTACCAGCGAGGGTAACAGTATACCATGTAAGTGAAATTTTATTTCTTTCGTCACTGATATTGCGTAGAAATCCTGTGAATGATATCTGATTCAATTTTATACGAATGTTTGTAATACAAACGGAATAAAGAAAAAAGTTTTTCGTAATATTCAGCATTCATATAAAAGTATTTGTTTCGAAAGTATTTTTATTTGGTGAAGTTCAAAGTTTATATATAAATATTTGTTTCTAGAGGGCCTTTTTTTTCAGTTTGTTTCTGGAAGTTACTTCTTTGCATGATCCACACATCTTTGTATAAAGTTAATTTTTTTGAATTGAGCTTTCTCCATCTTGAGAAGATTTCCACATTTTTTTGTATCAAGATGGAGTAGTAGAAAGCCAAAAACTTTTATTCTCAAAAATGAATCACTTCTAAAAATATAACCCTTTCAATTTGAACAAGATTCCGTTGAATTTCACTAGTTCGGACTTTCATTGGCTAATATATAAAATGATTTGAAATCCCTGAAACAGCTAAAAAAGGAGAATTAAAAATGAATAGCTGAAAATAACAATTATATTAAGCAAAAATAACCTGAAATGAAAGAATAGTGAAATAAAATACAAGNTAATGAGCTCTTTTCTGCCACGGAAGAAAACTTGGGAAAACTGTTGAAAACAAAATTATATATTTATAATATATTTTGTTTCTGTAGAATAAGTTTCATAGGTGAAATCAACTGGGGAGTATACAATGAAATGGGGTGAAACAAGAATTGTCAGCAGGAAATCTCACCTATAAATGAAAAAATTCAAAGAATACGCATATAATCTCTAATTGGTAACAAGTGAAGCTGTTGTATTTCACCTGAGTACGTTTGAAGATAGAATATGCAAGTATCGTCTGGAGTCCATTGTATGAAATCCATAACATAGCCATTGAAAGAGTTCAATGGAAGTTTTGTAAATTCCTAACTTTCAGAATAGAAGGTTTTCACCCTGAAAGAGGTATCAGTAATGATGTCATATATGAACGTTTGGAACTTTTTAGTTTAGAGCATCGCAGAAAATGAGCGTCGCTCAGAGCAAGAACTAACATTATATTCAATTCCCCAATATATATTATGTGCACAAATTTCAATAACATTTGTGCCCATGGTGATTTATTCTTCACTAACCTTCATAACATTATTAGAATTGCTAACATGTACTTGAAGTAGGTAATTAGAATTAGTTTTTCTTTTTTGTTCATTTCATTTTTTGTTTATGGTTAAGTATTGTGAATAAAATTTAATATTGTCCTGTAAATGGGTAACAGTAGGACAATAAAGCTATTCAAAAAAAAAGTGTGAATTGAATAGCTCTGTAGAAATAGACACACATAGTTACCATCGCCAAGGCGAAAGATTGAACATTTTATTTTTTCAAGTTACTGACTGGATTCTTCAGTGGTTCATATCAAGTAACAATTAACATTTCAGGATGAAACTTCTCAGTTTGACGCCAATAACACTTCAGCAGATTTTTTCTAATAATTTAGTTCCATTCATTTTTCAGGTTGTGGCTGCTGGAATACTCAAGAACCAGCAGAAAATAATTTTCGAAAAGAGTTATAATTTTTCGATAACTTCATCCTACTCATATGGATAAATAATGAAAATTGAAGAAAAAAAGGCACGTTCCATCCCAGTTACATTTCAGATTAGATAATATCATATGTGTTCACATTCTGTATCATCTCATATGATTTTTTTCAAAGAAGCATTCGGTACTTGGTTTAAAAATTTTGTCAAAAATTTTTTACTTTCTTTGGAAGTAGCGCATATTTTTTGTTCAGTAATAGAGAAGCAGAGAGCCCAAAAGTATGACATTATTATTCAACAGCTCAACAAATCTATCTAGACTGAATATCTGTCTAGAATTCATCTAGAATCTAGACCAAATATAATATGAAGTGAATGTCATCTAAACTGAATAGCTGTCTTTCTTTAAAAGTCCTCCACTTCTTTTGTTCGAAAATGGAGAAGCAGAAACTCAAAGGGGTGTTAAATAACTATTTACTGGGTCAACGAATTGAACAGACTGAACATATGTCGTTTTGTATGGTACCGCCCCTGGTATCATGTATTGCAGAAGGGCAGTTTCATCATCAGATATATGACCAATATCGAAGCAACTCCCCCTGTCTCTCACTGTCTTTATTATTTTCCTCACGGACAATATGACTGGCTCACAATTGACGTCGTTCTCAGGATAACGGCCGTCACAATTCTAAGTAAAGTGTAAATTCCTGTCGGACCAATCTTGAAGTGGACTAACCCCATTAAGCTTGCAATTTGCTTTGGAATTGGAGCACGTCCATGCAAATTTAATGAGGTGCTGTATACGTTACGAACGTTTTATTAGTTCTTCAGTAGTTGATTTTAATGGCGCCTTACTTTGTTCTTTCACGGATCGAAGGACTTTAGAGCTGAAGGGACTTTTATATGATTCCTAGGTAAACGACTTTCGATAGCTGGTCGTACTGTCATCATCTAGGCTCTACTCAAACTGCACGTGTCATCCTGTTGTAATCTTCTCTAGGTTTACTGTTTCTAGGAGTGTGTATTGATTTGTTTAATATATTGAATGTTAGGTCTTGTTGTGACTTGATTTGTACTTGTTCCTCGATGAGTGATTTATGACTGATTTATGACTGAATTTAAGGATGTTCAAGTTTTCCCAAATGTCCATACGGTTTCCCTTATTGACTTGTTTTATGAGTTTTATCTTTTCTGGTGGGAGGAAATTATGTTTGTTTTATATGGCGTGTGTTGCGAGGTTTGATTTATAAACAATTGGGTTTATGTATGCCTTTTTGTGCTCGTCGTACCTTTGGATCAATTGTTGCAGTCCAAGCATTGTATGCTGTATACTCCGTTTGTCTTCTTCTTCATAGCTGTTTATTTTTTTGTGTTATTTTCGTCTTTAGCTTGTATGTGATATTGATGTTCATTGGTTTGAAGATGTTTGTAAGTTTTTTGGTTTGGTGTCCTACGTACGTAAATGCTGTCCATCGTTGTGTAGTTTTGTCTGTTGGGGTGGCTTGATCCTCGTTCTAAATTTTTGGTTTGATTCTGTTTTCCAATGTATCTATTGTCTTTTGGGTGTATCCGTTCTCGTTTGCTATTTGGTATATGATTCTCCGTTCTTTGTTTCGGGCTTCATTGCTAAGTGATATCCTTAACATTCTATATATGAATGTGTTTATAGGCAGCCATTTTGTGTGATGGTGAATGGTTTGAACTTGCGGGTATGGTGGAGCTTGTTTGTGTAGGTTTCCTGTATATTGCCATTTGAAATTGTATTTTGTTGTGGTTATATACGATGATTATGCCCAGGTAGTTATTTTTTGAGTTGTTTTCTTCCACAATGCTAAAAACAGTTTTTGATTTATTTCGTTAATTTCTTTTGTTATTTGTTCTATTCTTATTCCACTGTTTTGTGATATGTACAGTCCATCTTCAACGTATCTGAACCATTCTCCTTTTCCATCATGTGTTTTTATTATTGTTAAGATTTTCTCATCTATGGTTTGCAGGTTTATTTCGGATATCAATATCGGATAGCGATGGGGATTCCATCGCTAGTCCATCTGTTTGTTTATAAATGTTTCCTTCAGATTCGAAATAGTTTTGATTGAGTATTGTATTTAGACTGTGTTCCCCCATAATGGCGGGGAGAATGAGAAGATGGACTGGAAGGGATCTGAATGTAAGAAGAGAGTGTGTTAGGATCATCTATGAAAGAGTGGCAAAACCTGCACTACTATACGGGGTACAGGTGTGGGGTGCCAGAGTGAATGATAGCAGGATACGACGACAGATACTAGCCGCGCAGAGACCTTTTCTGCTGGTGATAAGTGGGGCATACAAAACGACTGCCAATGCTGCACTAGCAGTACTGGCGGGGGTAGCCCCACTCAACATAGAGGCGGCGGTTAGATATCAGGAATGGATGGAGAATGGAAGGGAGAAGAATGGAGCAAGAGTGACAGAGAAAGAAAGGGTATCACCATGGAACGCCGGGAGAGTACTGGAGAATTGTGATAACATGACCGAGGTATATGTGGACGCTAGTAGGACAGATGACGGGAGAATGAGCGTAGGCTGGGCATACAAAGAAAGGAATGAATNATGGGTGTTGTGCGTGACAAGAGTCGTTAATGGTTTTCAGCTTGAGTAGGTAGTTATTTCCACCATAACATATCAGTAATCAATATTACATTATTGATAATGTGGGAGTAGAAACATTCAGTGAAACATTTCTATTTCTAGTCATAATTTTTTATTCATCAATCCAAGTATTCATCATTACTTTTATAGGTCGGTACAGAAATAAAAAAGTGAATGCTGACAAAAGACAGTAAATTACTTTCCTTTCCTGGCTTTAATCTGACCATTAAGAAAAATAACGTTAACACCCGAATGAAATGTCAAGTTCACTCTATTCTGGATATGGACTCACACGGTAATAGCTAAGACCAATCAGAGATCCATACTTAGGTGTTTCGAATTGAGACTTGAACAGTTTTTACTTGTGTTGGCAGAATAATCAGATTTGTTAACAATACTACCCTGAGGTCTTGAGTATGTGTTTGGGGCCAATATCAAAATATCTATGTGATTATTCAGAATACTTACCGGTTGACCACTTTCAAATGGTGTTGTACAGAAGTTACAAGGTCAAAGGTCAGAGTCGAATGTAGTTAAAGTTATGTATTCAAAAGCACAACCTATTGACGAAAAGAATTCGAAAATGTTAGATTTGCTTCGGGAACCTTGATTTTATCCCGTTTCAGTTTTTTTTTGCTATCTAAAATGTTATTGGTGGCAAATATTTGAGTGAAGACGATGTCATCTACCATCACGAAGACGCCATCTATGGGATCGTTAGCCAAACGAAGTCCGTCTGCTGCAATAATTGCATCTTTCACTGCAAGATTGCTGTGAATCTAGAGCCAAAAACAAAGCAATCATGATCAAATACCACACAGGAGTGTTTCGACTGCCATCCCACTACCGTGGGGTGGAACAGGGTTGTCTTGTGTTGGATTACGTGTGATTTATTCCTATTCAACTGATGTCTTTTTACTCTTCGTATATTTTTTTGGGGCATAAAACAAGCACTACAGGAAGAACCTTAAGACACCACAAAAGTGGGCTTGTGCGGAAGTAGCGAGGAAGTAGTAAATGAGGAACAAATCTCTAACCTCTCTTCGATGTTCCGGACTATCAAGGTTGTATGTGATGTCTGTGTCGCCAATCAGGCGGTTGACTCTTTTCTGAAAGGCATCCAGCAGCTTCGGGGTATGCTTATGGTCGGAGTTGTAATACATGGGAACAATGAGTCGTTGATATACAATAAAAAGAGGGTTGAAAACAATATGGAGCCCTGTGGAACACCAGCGTTTATGGTAAAAGTATTCGAGAGGAATCCCTTAACGGTCACTTGCAGAAAACGTTCCTTTAGGAAGCTGGAGAGCCTTACACAAGTTTGGCTAGAAAACCCTCATGCCACACACCGTCAAAGGCCTTAGAAATATCAAGCGCAACAGCTCTCGACTCTCCATGTTTTTCTGTTGCCTCATTCCATATATGGGTGACATACGATAGAAGGTCGCCTGTTGATCCTGGTTTCAAGATGTTGAAGCCTTCCTAATATTTATGGATATGTTGGTTTACGGCTCTCTCCACGATTTTTGATATCACTCAAAGCAAAGCGACTGGTCTTAAGTTATTTAGAAGATTTTTCTTACTCCTTTGGGAATAGGCTGAACGTGAGCAATATTTCAACAAGAAGGATAAACCCTTCTCGTGCAAGACAAGTCTGCAAAATACTGGTGCGAGTTCATTGGCGAATTTTTTAAGTATGATGATGGGCACTTCATCAGGACCAGACGCTTCGTTGATATTGAGCTGTTTCAATATTCGCCTGACGAGACTTTATTATTGAAAAGTAGTTTTCGGCATTGTGGATTCTAGTGTGGAAAAAGTGGGTGATGCCTTTCCCAGAAAATCGACTGTGGAGTGAGATGCAAATTGTTCAGCTAGTAGATTTGCTCTTTCTATGGTTATTGTTGCAATTAAACCATCCGTTTGTGATATTGGCGGATTGGGATTGGCTAGCCGTTTATCCCCAATTATCCGATTTGTGAAGTTCTTTGCTTTCATTTATTCTGAGTTCGCAGCTGTTGCGAGAATCAACGAACTTAGTTCGGTTTTTGGCACTGGGATTCTTGCCACTGCCGGTAGGCGTGATTTTTGCTGGCGACAGCTTTCTCGCAATCGTTGTTGAACCAGGCCTCTCATACAAATGATAATAATAATACGTTGAATCTAAAATTGGTGTTATAGAATTTAAAAGAATGTTTTGGACATGTGAGAAGATCAGTTGTTGGTAAGTATGGAGGTTTCTGTGCATAAGTTTATCCGTGATATATTAGATGTTACTATCCAGCAGTCTATATATAAAGTGTTGTCCACGTTTTGTGCACATTGTTAGCAATCCAATTTCATTAACAAAGGAGGTAGTACGGGGTTTGTAACTCACCCCAGACATAAGTCTGATACAAGAGTTTTGCATTTTTTGTATTAAACATCGGATAAGGTTATCCGGGAGTATACGACTTTCAGTAAACCAGATCCGCGTCTAATTAGCAAAGATTACATGTAATGAAAATTTCGATTATGGTCTTTAGTTTGTTTTGGAACTCACACAGAGTCGATGAAGGTTATGTGGACTGTTAAAAAAAAAGGTGAATGTTACAATTTTGCGGGCTACTCAGGCAATTCGATTAGCGATTTTTCATTTATTTATGTTGGTACACTCAAACATATGTTCATACTCGTACTTTCAGCTGTTCAGCATGTTGAGTTTTTTTTGAAACTTGGAAATTGTTGAGTGTTTGGCGATTTTTTGCTTTCGAAAAAAACGGATCAGAGAATTTGCATAAAAATGAAATTAAGTAGTCAAAACACTTGAAATGTTGCCAGTGGTATATGTAAAAATATAATACAAGCTATCCACAAGAGGTTGGGGAGATATGAATGACGAAGCTCGCCCTGAACGCCCCAACACATCAACAACCCATGAAAATGTTGAGAAAGTGAAGAAAATTGTTATGGAGAAGCGTCAAATTACTATTAGAGAAATTGCTGTGAATGTTGTCATATTGGTTGGCTCATGCGGTTCAATTTTTCCGAAAAATTGAGGCATGGAGCGTGTGGCAGCGGAGTTCGCTCCAAAATTTCTGAATTTTCCAAAAAAAACCGTCGCATTAACATCGCTCTTGACGTCAACGGCGATCCAGATTTTTTTGAAAGGGTCTTAACTGATGACAAATCATGAGTATATGGTTATGACATAGGAATCAAAGTTCAATCGTTCTAGTGGAAGAGCCTAGGACAGCCAAGACCAAAAAATCACGAAAAGTTCGATCGAATATCAAGGCTTTGCTCACTGTTTTCTTCGATTACTGTGGCATGCATCAGCAGTTTCTGCCACATGGTCGTACGGTGATAAGCAGTATTATCTTGAAGTGATGTACCGCTTGTGAGAAGCAATACGAATAAAACATCTAGTATATTAATGGCTTTTGCATCATGATTATGCACCTGGCCAAATACAACACCGTAATCATGCCTCAGCCACCGTATTCACCAGACTTGGCACCTTGCGACTTCTTCCTGTTTCGAAGATTGCAAAGATCCTTGAAAAAAAACGGTGTTTTGCGACGACTGAGGAGATATAAACTGAATCGTTGGGATAGCTCAAGAACATACCAAAAAGTGCGCCTATCAGAATGTATGCAATACTTCATAAAAATCGGAAATATAAATGATAAAAAGCAATGTTGCATAAACAGAACCCAGTGATCGAAACTAGCAACATTATTCATTTACAATAAACATATCTTTGTATGGGAACAAACGTGGGAATGATCTCATCCACCACAATGCTTGCATACTCATCAGAGAGTTTCAATTTGGGAAACGATCGGTAATGATGATTTTTCAATGAAGAAATTATTTCGTAGTTCGCACTCTGTCTGCATGTAATAGCTATCATTAGAATACGATAATGGCATAATTGTCTCAACATATTACACCTACAATCGTGGTAACCTTTGCGACTATAATGATTGGAAATTCACTTTTACTTCACATCACGCCTAGCGTAATCGGCACTGGAAAAAAATGGAGAAATAATGTGGTCAATGATACCAAACATTTTAAATAGCGGTACTCGTAATAACTGACTCATTGGCAATGGGATAACGTACTGTTATTTAATATTTGATACAGGGTTTGTCAGCGGAATGTTCCGTTACCTGTTATGAAAGACCTTCAAATGTTTCAATAAAATGTACAAATCAAACTGTATTGAACTCACGAAGTAATAGTGGGGTATATAATAGTGGAGTGCCCATTATTCTGCAGTAATATTTTCAATAGATGATCTATTTTGAAAGTATGGTTTTGATATAGATATAGTAATTGTAGGATTGAGGATTAGAGCACTATGCCTTCGATAGTGTCTACCGCAGTCATATACGAAAAGTCAGCCGTGAAAACCTGCAGACCACGGCCAATAAACCGAAAAATGACTTTGATACAGATACATGAACTTCACTGTCTGAAATACATTTGCGATAAAGTCATTTCCATTTTATGAATGCTATTTTCACTTATCAAATTGAAAAAATAATACTTTTGTGGAAAATATTGATGATAATGAACGCAATGTAGGCTTCAAAACGTTTTTATTTGCTTCATATGCACTTCTCAGGTCTCCTTCTCTAACACAAATATAGTTTCCAGTAGCACCAGACTAGCGAAATAATTTTGTAACTGAAAATCTTTGATTGGATAGTAGGTAGTCAATAATTCAACCTCACTCTCAATATAATATCCAATTAGGTAAAGTAAATGCATTATATTTTCATTTAATTTTTTTTCTTAACAATGACGTGTGATTCAAAATTGGTAATTGTTCTGTATCTGTAGAGTAGGGAGGGTGAGTGTAAGCCCACGCACTTAGGCCACATGTGACCCATTGTACATCCTCCCGAGGAGTTGTCCATATTATGTAGGTGTTTCCTTAACTGACAGTGGCCAGTTAGAAATCCTACTG